TCTTAAATGAGTCCAACAACAACAATTTGCATTTATATAGCGCCCCTCACGCATGGTAATGTCTCAGAGCACTTGACAGTGGTGGAGCACGACGCCAAGCTGGTGAGGAAGGGTTTGGCTACCGTAGACACGGTCGAAGAGGAAGGTCTTCAGGCGCAATCCGAAGAAGGGGAAGCAAGACGGAGGGATAGAGGAAGAGTGTTCCAGAGTTTCAGGGAGTAGTGGCTGAAAGTGCAGCCACCAATGGTGGAACGGAGGGCACAAGGGACTCGCAGGAGGCCAAAGCCAGTCGAGCAGAGGCAGACGGTAGTGGGTTGTGAAGTAAGCAGGTGGGAGAGGTAAGGAGGTGCAAGGACATGAAGGGATTTGAAGACAAGTGTGAGGATCTTGAAATTGATCCATTCGGCGATAGGGAGCCAGTGGAGCCTGGCTAGAACTGGTGTGATGGGGTTATGGAGTTTAGTGTGCGTAAGTATGTGGGTGGCGGAGATTTAGATCAGATAGATTTTTATGGATGGTGGAACTGGGGAGACCAGCAAGGAGGGTATTTAAATAGTCCAGTGTCCTATCCTTAACAACTCCTTCTCGTAACCTGTTCTGGTCACTAATTGTCCCCTGGGTTAAGAAATCTTCCAGGTGTCTATCCTGAAAATGCATTTTGCAACCCTGAACCTGTGAGGGAACAGGATAAGATATGAATTGGAAGAATGAATCTTTTTCTGCATCCATTTCTTTTCTCTGCATCTCATATATTGTAGTCAAATGTAAAACAGTGATCCTATATCTGTAGGTATCCATTGAAATGCTAATGAGATTCTGGGCAAATAATAATAATAATCCTTAAATTTGATATAGCTCCTTTCACATCCCAAAACATAATAATAATCCTACACAATAGATATGAATGTTATCTTGAGAAACAGAAATCAATCACACATAAGTGTTACCAAAAATATTACAGTAACAATTGTTCTTGGCTTGTTAAGAGCTGTACTATAGAATCATAGAATATTACAGCACAAAAGGAGGCCATTTGGCCCATCGTGCCTGTGTCAGCTCCCAGGAAGAGCTACCCGATCAGTCCCACTCCCCTGCTCTTTCCCCATATCCCTGCAATTTTTTTCTTTTCAGGTACCCGTCCAATTTCCTCTTGAAAATTGTCATTGAATCTGTTTCCACCACCCTTTCAAGCAGTGCATTCCAGATCACAACAACTCCCGGTGTAAACAAAATTCTCCTCATTTCCCCTCTAGTTCTTTTGCCAATTATCTTAAATCTATGTCCCCTGTTTACCGACCCACCCACCAGTGGCACAGTTTCTCCCTATCTACTCTCAAGACCCCTCACCATTTTGAACACCTCCATTAAATCTCCCCCTTAACTTTCACTGCTCTATTGGGAACAATCCCAGCTTCTCTAGTCCCTCCACATAACTAAAGTCCCTCATCCCTGGTACCATTCTGGTAAATCTCCTCTGCATCCTCTCCAAGGACTTGTTATCTGTCTATCACACAGTGTGGTGCCCAATGTATTTCTGCTTGAAGCTTCATTATGTGAGACGGGTAGGTATTAATTATCTACACGAGCTGTTAATTCCACAACAACAACAACTTGGATTTATATAGCGCCCTCCTTGCCGGATGGCGTCTCAGAGCGCTTTCCAGTTTAGGATCCCGGACCGAACCAAGGGGAGGGGTGGGAAGATGACCAAAGGTACGGTCGAAACAAAAGGTCTTCAGCAGAGACCTGAAAATGGGAAGGGAGGGAGCTAGATGAAAGGAGTGAGGAAGGCAGTTCCAGAGCCTCGGGGCACGGCCGCCGAGGGTGGAGCGGAGGACTTGGGGGACAAGGAGGAGGCCTTGTACACAATACTTTACAAAATAAAGTTTTACTCTTGGACAGTGGGTCGAGTCCACTGGTCCATAAAGATCCCACACACGATTGGAAAAGAGAAGAGAGTTTCTGCAGCTGTCCTGGCCAACATTCCCCAGAAGAATTGATCCTTCACCACATGGTTTCTCCTCCAGCCCCCACACTATCATGTGCAGTGTTCCTCAGGGCTCTGGCCTCTCCTCTTCAACCTGTAAATGCTCCCTCTTGGTGACATCATCTGCAGACATGGGGTCAACTTCCACATGTACACCAATGACACCCAACTCTATCTTTCTGTCTCCACCCTCATCCCCAGGACCACTGATGTCCTGACAGACTGTCTGTCAGACATCAAGTCCTGGATGACAGCCAACTTTCTACAGTTGAATGTCAGCAAGACTGAGGCCCTCCTGATTGGCTCCCATCAGCGACTCCGCACCTCAGGCACTGGCAGCATCAGCATCCACAGATGCACACTCCACCTCACTAAGCTAATCAGGAACCTAGGCATCTTGTTCAACCCTCAACTGTGCTTTCTCCCCCACATCCGTGCCATGACCCGTTCTGCCTTCCCCCACCTCCGCAACATTGCCTGACTCTACCACTGCCTCACCATTCAGGCCGCCGAAACCCTCACACACGACTTCAATACAGCTTGTTGGCCTTCCTAACTCTTCCCACCACAAGCTGCAGATCATCCAGAACTCTGCAGCTCGTGTCCTCTCCCGCACCAGGCTCTGTGACCCCATCACACCCACCCTCACCCGACTCCACTGGCTTCACATCCTCAATGGATCGAGTTCAAAATTCTCGTCCAAACCTTCAAGTCCCTCCATGACCTTGCCCCCACCTACCTCTCCGGCCTGCTAATCCCTTATCAACCTGTCCACTCCCTCCACTCAGCTGGCTCTGGCCTGGTCCATGTCCCCTGCCCAGCCTGCCCACCATCAGTGATTGGGCCTTCAGCCTCTCTGCCCCCACCCTATGAAACTCCATCCCACATTCCCTTCACCTCGCTCCCTCCCTGGGTTCCTTCAAGGCACGCCTCAAGACCCTCCTCTTTGAGCGTGCCTTCGGCTACCCTCCTACCCCCACCCACCTGCCCTCTACCCTCCTTGATCCCAACCACCCCCCCAATCCGCTCGGGTCCTAATCCCTGGGTGTTCAGCCCCTTGGGATGTTTTCCCCACCTGAAAGGTGCTTTACAAATGTAATTTTGTATTGTATGGCTGTTTGTAATAGACACAATGGCTACTGTATTAGGCAATAAAAAACAATCACTACACTTGACAATAATTACTGTAAAGGACTTTGAAATATTTCAACATTATAGATGCTATAAAAACACAAGATCATTGATGCAGAATAATCTGAGTATAATGACCAGAATCTAATCTACTTACAGCAATCCATCCTTCAGTGAAGATAAACAAATATTCTTTGTCTAATACTTAGCTGACAAGCACCTTTTCTGATTTAAAAGAACTTCCATCAAACCTACTTTCTTTTTTTTTAGTCACCCGGGTGTCTGACATGTGGAAACCCATCACCAGGCTTAAGAATATCCAAACCAAGATGAGATTTCCATGTAACCCACCTACACACGAAAATCCCAGAGATAGATTGTTGGAATGGAATGTGCACTCTCTCCCTGGAGGGATGCTTCCTGCTGACCTAATTCCTGAGAGTATTAGGAGTAGGTTGGCAAGAGCCAAGGCTTGGGGACCCCAGAGTGTGCGTTGGGGTACTGCGGGAGTTCAACCAGCTAAACCCGCATAGCTTACCACTGCTTCCTACTTCTTGTAGAATATGCATTTGAATGGTGAAAAATAAGGTCTTCAAATGCTACTATATAGCATCTTTCATGTCTAGAGAACGTCTCAAAGGACTTCACAGTGACTATAGGTTTTGCAGGCAAACATTTTGCCTATAATATAAAAATGTGTCAAAGCTTTCACAGGGAATTATTGTTAAGTGTAATCATTGCTAGACAAGCATGGTGGTCAATTAGCACCGATCCAATCATTTTTTTTCAAATTATAATAGAAATTTATCCCGGTTTTGAGATTCTTTCTTGATCCATATTTATGTTAGAATGTATGCGAGCTCAAATTCTTTATATATAAATTATATAAATCAATGTATGCACATTAAACAGATCCTTGAAACTGCCATGAGATGAATAGCTAATTTATCTGGTGAATTGATGGCTGGGACATTTGGAGAAACTGCCTTCTCTTTTTGATTAGTGTCATTCATTTTAAGCATTAATTTTAATGGCTCATTCCAAGGATGGCACTTCCAATAATGCAGCCCTCCCTCAGGCCTGCACTGGAGTATCAGCCTAGACTATGAGCTCAAATCCAGATGAAATTGTCTCATTCATTGCTGATAGTACATATTGCCACACTTCACAAATTTAAAAGTTACATCAAAAAATAAATTACTTTAATTGGATATAATCATGCATTAAGTTATAATCAAATACTTTCCTTCAGAACTCTTGAATTGCCACCACCTGCCTTCATGAACTTATGAATTTAGTTAGAACCATGTGATTCCCATGTGATTACTCACATTCTATTTAGAGTCCCACTTAGTCATATTCAGTGATATTTTTTTTTTTGCATGCTAGTCCAGTGGAGACTCACTAAATCCAATCTCACTGAAAGACAGTCATTGTGCTGATGTTTACAATTCTTATAGTAGAGCACAGATCAGTATCTATCCTGACACTGGACTCTAAACCCAAGGTTCGAAAGCCTCATGCTCTTAATAATAATAATCCTTGCATTTGATATAGCGTCTTATCACGTCTTCGAGAAGTCTCAAAGTGCTTCACAGATTACACTGCAAAGTAAATTGACTGAGATTGAAGACCTTTGGTTTAAAATTCAAGAACGTGCAGAAATTTTGGAAAATTCTTAAAAACTGATTATCCTGTGTTTTTTTTATTTTGGGTATTGTGGGCGGAAAAAAACCTTCAAAATTAAAACTTTTAGAATTTAAGATTTTTCCAAAATTCAGCTCGATCTTAAATTTTTAAGAATATGATCCTAAGGCTAAAACTATGAGAAATTTCAACCCAAAATTACTGCACAGCAATTTTCAGGACCTGACTGAATTGGAGTCCTGTAGCTCAGCGGTTAGAGCACTCGCCTAATAAGAGAGAGGACCTGGGTTTGATTCCCAGTGGGGCGAAATGTTGGACAAGTTTCCTTATTCCACACGCCTCTGTTTACCTAGCAGTAAGTAGGAACCCGGTTGTTATTCAATTGACAGATCGCTTTTTGGGGGATAACAATCCGTTCCAAAACAAATATAAATAATAATTTGGTCGAGATCCACAACTATTTGTGGGACATTGCTGTGCGCAATTGGCTGCCACATTTGCCTACAAATACAGTCACTTAATTTAACAGTTAATCCTGTGAAGTGCTTTGAGACATCCTTCTGATGCGATAAGGTGCTATACCAATTGCAAAAATTATTAATACTATTAAATACACAAAGGAATACCTCTTGACAAATATTGCATGATGTAGACTTTGCTGGAAATCAAATTCACAATATGTTTGCCTTCCTGTCTCTACCACTAGAAATAATGTTAATGTTTAACTGCATTTAGATTGCATCTACAGCAGTTCAAAATACATTCTACCTCAACTGAAATAAAACCTGAATTGCTGCCAAGTCATATAGCATGTAGAGGCTGGAGAGTTTAGGTTTGCATGAATTCAAATTTCACAGATAAATGTTGACCCTTGGTTTATGTGATGTGCATGTGTTCAAACAACAACAACAAATTATATTTATATAGCGCCTTACACGTTAGGAGGACAGGCTGGGGGTGTTTCTCCTCTCCCATATTCAGTGACTAATTTTCTTTACTTATTAATGAAATACATAGAGATAATTCAGGACTTTAATTTTGCACTATTTGCACAATACCAACCACAGATTGTTCCCAACAAAATTCTTCCATCATTATTTTGACGATTTCTGGGGTGTTTAAGTAAAGTGTTTTGGATTCCAGTACAACAATATTATAATATGAATTGTTATAAGCACTGGATCAGGTCGCTTTATAGACAACTTCTGAAACCCAGGTAGAAGGGTAGACTTTATTGTCATCACAAGGCACAAAGCAAGCAAACCCACTTCCATCATATAGTTTCAGAATAAATTTAGCTTTCAATCCAACCATGTGGACAGCTTTTTACTGAGTTTCAAAATCAGACACAATATTGCCCCCAATTCTACGTCAATTGAGTCAAATGGGTCCACATGTTTGAGTACCAATCTCAATCTTTCCAGTGTTGTAATTCTGACAAGAACTATGGAAACATTATTGATGTGTTATTTGGCGTGACTTTTTTGAAAGGGAATCTGCTGCAGGTCCATGTGTATCAAGGAAATCATGACAACAAAATAAATACAAGACCAATACTCTCTAGGAAATCAAATTAATTGCAACAATGCACAATGCCAGGATTAAAAAACAGAAAGTCGCATCCCAACGGAATGCAACTGGAATGTAGGTACTTAAAAAAATAATAATCCTTGCATTTGATATAGCCCTTATCATGTCTTCTAGACATCTCAAAGCGCTTCACAGAATATACTGTAAAGTGAATTGACTCGTAAATTATAATCATAAGGCAGTGCTTAAATGCTCCTTGGCTCACCTGATGGCTCACTTGGTAAAGAGACTTTCCAGAGCGAAGCTGAGCCAGACAGAAACGGAAACTGGGAAAGTTTCAATTACACAATTGAATCCTTTAAATATTTTTCATTGCTTGTTATTCACATAATTAAAGGCATCTGCAATTCCCTCTGGGTACATTTATTTACACATTGTTTACACATGGTGGCTTGCTTGGTATTTTTGGTTAAGTTAATTCCAGAGCCAGCCAACACTGATAACCACTTTACACAATAGACACATCAAGAGGAACATTGGCCCTTAGTGCAGTGACATTTGACTGCTTTGTGTTGTGGGGATGTTCCACTGCACTGGAGCAAGAGAAATAGTGGTGCAATAATTGTCTGAAAATCAGTTTGAGGCTAAGTACAATCCCATTAAAACACACTGTTATTTTTGTGGATTGGTTTATAGGCCCCTTTTATGGAAGGCTGCCGGTGCAAATTAGCTGTCTTGTTTGCCGACATAACATGCACTTCATTTTTAATTAGTGCTATTCAGTAAAATGCTTAAGGGTTTTTTTTGGTAAAAGATGCTTTAGAAATGTAAATTATTGTTGTGACCCCTGTAAAATAAAAGGGGATACAAAATTCTGCCAAGCCTGATATTGTCCCTTCAAAAAAAGAAAATAATTTGGTCACTCAATCCACCACTGTTTGTGGGACACTGCTAAAGGCAATTGTCTGCCATGTGTTGCCTACAAATTCTACAGGCTATTCACTTTAAAGTATATTCTGTGAAGCGCTTTGAGACATCTCGAAGATGTGATAAGGCATTATATCAAATGCAAGGATTATTATTGTGAGCACTGCATTTATTCTGTGTAATTTACTGTGTGTGTAGTATAATTCATATTTTTAAGATGTTTCTCTATCAAGCACATAAAACCAATAACACACTTGTCAGCTCGCCTTTGGCTTTGTGGAGATGTGTTTACAAACCTAGCAAAATGTCCTGTTAAAAAACCTGACAGAAATAACAATGACAATGTCAATGTCCATTTAGCTTCTGAAGTTGGAGGATGTGTGATCTTCTCTTGCACATCTCATTTTGTCTTCCTCACTAAGTGCAGCTCTCTATTACTGCCAGTATTGAGAAAACAGAATCTGTGATCCTGAGACAATACTGGTCATCACAGTTAAGGAAAGAAAAAAAAAGCCATCCCTTGAGGATGGAGAGGAATTGTCTCCATGGTAATGATATAATGCCATTATCTACCAGGCCATGGGAAAACATTCAAGCAGAAGGGATTGGTCAAGGTAAGCTCTCCTCTTCCAAAAAAGGAACACCTCGTGTCCACTGGGTACTCCATCTTACAACTGATGAATCCACCCAACCCAAGCAATTCAGCAATGGATCTTGAACTAACCACCTTTTCAACTTGACTCTCAATCACAACTCCTTGAGATGATCAGCTTACAGCAGGGAACTGTGTGATGGGATTTCTCAGGGGTTAAGTAGGAGAGGACTGGACTGAAATTTAAAGCATTGCTCAAGGTGACACAATGCATTAGCACTTGAGAAGGTCAAAGTCAAACCCAGATACTTTGCAACCTTTTATAAGATGAAGCAAAATGATTGTTAGTACCAAAAGTAGCAAAAAGAAAGGTCATGCTAAATATCACATCAATAATGTTTTGCACAGTTATTGTCATTTTCTATTTACTATGAAAGTTTTAGTCAGACGCGATGCTGAAGATATTTCCAACAGGAATCAAAAGGGAACTTTGATGTTTATTTTGGATCGTACTGAGGCAACTGAAAGCTGAAAGGTCAATTAAAATAGCAAATGCTGAACAGCAGTTTCCATGGTGTATTTGGAATTTATCCAGTGTCTGACTGGACTGAACCAGTGAAATTCACAGGAAAGTAAGAAATGTGTTTCTCCCCTTCCTGGATGGATTGCTTTGTGCTTTATGTACAATGCTCTTTTGCTTCTATTTGATGTGAAAATAGAGGCACTGAATGGACGCTGTAATTGCAGTATAGTAAAACCATAGCAGTCAGGACAATATCGTTTAATATGAATTATATGAAGTCCAAGTTGCAGGCGAATTGTATTAGTAGTAGAAAATGTTATTTAATCAATAATCTACACTGCGCATGCGTAATATAATGCAGCTGGTAAGTGCGCATGCGTAACTTAGTCACTGCAGCTGGTAAATGCACACGCAGAACTTAAGTCACTCCAGCTGGTAAGTGCGCTTTTGGTGATGTGTCAAGACTACATTTCCCACAATTCAATTTATCTAGACCCATGCTGTATGCACACATACCAGCAACTGTTAGAATCGCATTGAATCATGAAGTCCTTCTGCACATGTGTTGACGGATCAAGACTACGTTTCCCATGAAGCGGCCAGTAAGTGCCCATGTGCTGACGGGTCAGGTCGTCATTTCCCACGATTCAAATCAGCTGGTAAGTGAGGAGTAATGGAGGATTGGGGAGCGGCTATAAGAGTTAGGAGGTGATTAATAGGACTAGTGCAAAAAAACTAAGTGGTTTTGGTAGGAAACTGAATGGGACTCGGGCGAATGTACAATTTAGGCAATTAGACAATTTATAATTTAGAAAAGAAAGTGAGTTAACGTTTTGGGTCCATGTGTTCTGATGAAGGGTCGTGGACCCAAAACGTTGACTCACTTTCCTTTCTCCATAGATGCTGCCTGACCTGCTGAGTGTTCCCAACCGCTTCTGTTTTTGTTTATAAAGATGAAAATTATTCAAGTTTTACTGTATCAACAATCCCTGCTGCAGTACCAACCAAATTGGTCTCTGCTCAAGAAATAGCCCAACAAAAGTTCTCTTTTGACCATTCTTAAGTTTTATGAATGTTATATATGGCCCTTCATGCAGGCAGATCTTTTAGAACATTACAAAGCAAACAAGGATTCAATGGGGATTATTGGAGTGTGCAGGCACAATGAATTGCCTTGAGCAGAGCCCTTTTCAGTCTCTGGCTAATATGGTTTTCATGCAGGAAAATTTAATGTCATATCAATGGGTGCTTTACCATTCCCTCTTAATGTTTCCCCATGTGGTTGAGTGTCTCCTGATCCTCCTGTACTAAGTGTGTAACAGTAATCAGGCTAACTCTCCTTATGAAGACCAAAATTTCACCTAGACACTAGCCATTAAATACATTTTGTCTAAAATTAATTTTAAGAATATACAGAATTCTGCAAAAATTCTAAATTTCCCAAATTAATATAGATGTTTCAGAATTTTATTAAAAATGACTGTTTTTGACAAAGTGTTTTTGATAAATTTTTTGACAAGCTAAAACTAAAACAAACTGGGATTTCAAGGCCCCAGCAAGTTGTCCAATGTTTCTTCGGGGTGAGGGCTGTACAAGTTTTTTTCTTCCTTTCCAATGATCCAATCTTTCGATCAGTGTGGGGAAAATGAGTGACACACCCATAAACTGAAAGTGCAAACAGAAACCACAAGCAACCTCTGTGCTGCTGCTATCTTCATTATGTATTTAACATTGCAAATTGTTATGTTCCTTTTAGCTAATCGAGTGATGTGGTGCACAGCACCAAATGGTTCCCAAGGTTCTCATCGAAATGTGATTTCATGTTGCAAAGTACATGTAAATAGCTGAAGGGAAAAAACAAAATATATTGCAAAGACAATTGCAACAAAGGTTGACTATGTGCCTCTAGGAGGACTGGTGTACCGGGTGTATGGCTGAAAGTGGTTCATTGTCCTTATAGAGTGTTAACATGTAAGCTGGACTGGTATTAACGTCAATAAGAGCCATTCAATTTGATTCTACCTTTACTGACAAGCAGAGAATATTTGCTCACAGAAAAAGATCAGTAAATTTGCTGACAAGAGGCCAATAACCCCTCGGATTGTTTTAACAGTAATAATAATTCTTCCATTTGATAGGCTGCCTTTCACACTAGGAGGATGTCTGAAAACGCTTTACGTGTTACAAGTGTAGTGACTGTATATTTGTAGGTCAATACAGCCACCAATTTGAATAGAGCAATGTCCCACACAAAAAACATTGTTTTATTAATGGGACAGGTATCTCCAAGACTCCTCAATTGTGCTAACCATGTCAAAGTCCACCTCCAAGAGAGCAGAAGGTAACACTCTAGATTCAAAGACATCCACAGTATCTGGGAGAGAATGGTCCAGGCTTGTGGTCGGCTGAAATTATTTTGCTGTTATTTATGTGACCAAGTGCAGCGCGCTAAATAAATACCATTGTTTTTGCTGCGTTAAGGTCATTGCAACATGTCATTTTTATTGCTTGTCAGTGGGCCAGTCATCTTAAAATAAGTGCTAAGCTTGCTGGAAATAGCATCAAGTGCTTGCTACTCAGAGGATCAACACTCCAAGCTGATTATGTGCAGCTAAGGGATCTAAATCCTTAAATGTTTCAGACAGAGTAAGGAATTTTTTATCAATCTATTCATACAGGTCTCAAAATAATTACTAATTACAAGAGGAGGGATAGCTGCTGATTATTTGAACTGTGTAAATGACTGAACCCAAATAATAAAGGAAACTTTTTTTCCCTGAACTATTACTGAAAGGCCCAAGTGGCTGGCAGTCAGTTTAGCACCAGCAGCACATTACATTTGTATAGCGCAGTAACACTGATAGCTTCTTCACAGCTGCAGAGATATTGTGACATCTTTACATAATAACCAGGTTTATCTTCTTAATATTTTAACCAGCTTGAAATAACGAATACAAATCCAGTTCATTACACATTCTTCTTTGTTTAAAATTTAAAAGGTCAATAAATTTAAATTTATTAGTGCAATTCCTTCTATAAATCTTTAATTAAAAACAATTGATATTTTATGTCAATGGGATACTTCAGCTGTCTGTAAGCTCTGAAATCTGCTCTGGAGTTAAACTGCAATGCAACCAGCTCAACCACTGGTGTTTTTTAAGTTGTTAACAGCAAGGCCAGATGGGAAGGACCTGGGTTAATAAAACTCGCCCACCATGACCTTGAAACATTTTCTGTTTGGCCATTGGCCATTGGCCATGTGGCTTCTCCACATTGTTACCGTCAGTTTGCAAGAGGTGTTTCCTATTCGACCTCTTATTGCTCTTTGAAAAATTATACTTCATCAGCTTCCATCCCTTCCAGGATTTTCCCCACAAGACAACGTGCTTTCTGCACAGCCGCAGAGCTTTCACCACACTAGGAGCCTCTGATGCCTTTGCCAGTCATGGTCATGCTGACCCAGCCAGGGCCTCATCGCTTCCAGTTTGAAGTTCTCCTCCAAGAGCTCACAAACAAAATACCTTAACTTGTGCTTTTAATGACCTTTTTTGAAGAACACCTTCTCCTTGCACCCTTCCTGCCCACTTCCAAATCCCGCCTAAAGACCTTCTTTTTGATTGTGCTTATGGTCACCTACCCCCTCCCTCTCCCCCTGGTTTGGGGTCAGACTCCGCCATAGTGAAGTGCTCCGAGATGCTACCCGGCGTGAAGGGCACTATGTAAATGCAAGTTGTTGTGGTGAGTCTTTAACGTGCCTATTGAACAGAGAGAAACAATTCATTCTTGTTACTGGAAGTTTTCAGTTTACATGGTATGCACCACCTCATGGTGCACAGACTCTGCTCTTTAGGAAAAGGTACAGGAGTGACGTGCGATTACTGGCGGCAATAGTCTCTGCTGGTCAGTTAATTCATCAACCTTTAGTGGGATTTCCCAGTCTAATCCCACACTGACAAAGGTCATTAAACATACTAATAAGCAGAGAATAACACTCACTCAGCCTGTGGTGTTTCACGCCCACAGAGAACTGAGCCAATTTGGTAGCAGAGAAATGAACTTTTCCCAAACAGTTTGATATTTTTTATATTAAACTGAAAATACTAGCACCATAAAGTGGCATCTAATTTGCATGAGTCACTGAAGTATTTTAAATAGAAAATAGTGTATCCTTCAGGAATCCGAACACTTCCTTGACAGACTTTGTAACCGAGACTGACTTGGACACCAATCTCAGTTTTGACCTTTAAGAAGCCAGACTGTAGGATGCCCTGGGCACTGGTTGTCAATTATATCTGTGCAGCATTCCAGAGGATCAGCCTAACACACAGCCAGAAACCTACAGAATCCTCGTTTCACCAATCCCTTTGCAAATATTGCAAATTAGACCGCTGTGAATTCCACCGATGCCTTGTCAGACATGCAAGTTCATTTCGTGCATTTGCATGATTCACATATTCACAGTAGCTTCACATAATTCAGGCTAAAGGCATTTAATATTAATTGGCAACTTCAATTTGATTCAAGAAATGCGCAATGAAACATCAAAAGGGCAACCACGAAAGATTCAAAGGCTACAATTAAAGCATTTTTTTTCATATGAGAATCCAGACATTCCAGCTGAATTGGTGTGTACAATGTCCATTTTTACATATGTAATAAAGCACATTTTGTTCAATAAAAGTTTACTAATTCAAGGAATGGATTTGAAAGAATGATCAGGACAAAGGTAGAAAAATGGGGATGCAGTAATATTAAGCTGCCATTTTCAATTGGGTGGGGGTGGAATTAAGATGGAATTTTGTTCAGAATTAGTACATCAGCTGAAACAATTATTGCTCTAATTCTGCAAGTTTCAGGATGCAAACCTCCTGCAGCGCAGCAGAAACAACCAGTGGCAAAACACTGGCGGGTTTGAACACTGACAGATCTGTAAGTGCTGTAAGAATCAACAGGAATAGCCAGCGAAAAACATTCTGAGCCACAAAAGCCTTGCAACATATCCAGTCCTAATAGCCTTTTGATTGATTTCATCTCCATGGTAACCATGAGAAGAAGGGACAAGAAAGCATTGATAAGAAGGGCTTCAGCTGAGCCAGCTTTCAGGTTATTGAATTAAATGGAAAAAAGCTTTTAACGGCATGAAGCAAACCTACTGTTTTCATATTGAGAACAAGTCTTCGCCGCATATAAAAACATCACATAGGTGTGCTGATCTCTAATCTTGAACGCAACATTTAATTCTGCATTTCAAAAATAATTTAAAAGCAACCCTGCATTATATCAGTACTGCTGTTCGTTATGCCAGTGGTGGACACTATTACAGACTATTATTTATTATTATTTAAATGTTGATCAGAATAGTAGGGAGAGTTCCAGGTAAAAGGTTCTAGTTCAAGGTCCCAGCACCTTGGGACGTCCTCCCGACATGAAAGGCTCTCTATAAATGTAATTTTGTTGTTGTTGTTGTTATAGGTAATAAAGAAAATCCCTCTGACCACTTTTGCACACCTCTCAATTACTGTGTTGAAATGACAATGGCCAAAGTAAGTCTGCTGCCCGAGCCACCTCTCAGCAGGGAGTGTGTGTGGCACAGGCACTGTCTGCACCACCCTATGTGAGAGTTAAACAAGTCTGGCAAGGTTCTTCTCTATTTGGAAATAAACTGAGTCTTAAATGTAGGATGCTACAAAACAATTTCTGTCCATCTGTTCTGTGATTTTATCAGGCCAAATAAAGCCACTGCTATTGACTTCAATACCTAGGAACTATCCGAGTCTTACAAAAGGGCACAAGGTAATGTCTGGCAGGTTCCTATGAGAATCATCCTGGGCACATCACTACATGATCTATCCAATGATAGATCCTCCTGGCTGCTCTTAAAAGGATCATTACTTCATTTTAACACTCAAGAGAATATTCTACCTCTTCTTGTTACATTTTGTTGGTCAACCTGCCACACACAGAAATCCACCACCGTATTTTAAGAGTATCCAAACCAAATTGTTGAGAGTTCCACTCACGCATGAGAAATACTCATTTGTTCACAGAGTGAGTACTATATCCCCAGAGAGATGCACTCTGCTCACTTAATCCTGATAATACCTGTAGGTTGGCAAGAGCCACGGTGTGGAGACTCTAAAGCGTGTGATGTGGTGCTGATGAAGTTGATTTTAACCAGCTAAAACTGAGCAGCTGACCATTTTGAGCACTGACAGGCAAGTTTTGTGCTATTTGCCCGGCTAGGACTATCCAACTCCTTATGGCTTTGCCTTGCAGATATAACATGAACTAAGTGACCCAGTGACTGATCTGCTCCTACAAGTCCAGTAATGCCTGGACAATAAGCTCTTACCTTTACATAGTAAACCAGGTGCTCAACTTCATTCACTTTGTAGGTTTCCAGCCCCAGCTCCTTTGATATTCGTAGGATTCGGTTTTGAGTGGGACCCACGTAGGCTCCACCCAGGTCCACATACTTCACGTTTTGATTCTGATGAAAGATAACAAATAATGTGTTCAAAACATTGAGGAACATACAATGAATGTCCCTGGGTTGTTACCCCAGTTTACAGGATTAACACAAAAATACTCAAAAAGCACCAGAAGGAAGATGACCATAGGTATGGTCGAAGAAAGAGGTCTTCAAGCGAGACTTGAAAATGGGGAGAGAGTGGGCAAGGTGAAGGGACTGAGGGAGAGAGTTCTACAACTTCAAGGTGTAATGGCTGAAAGCATGTCCTCCGACGGTGGGGCAGAGAGGCCAGGGGACAAGTAAGAGGCTGGAGCCAGTCGAGGGGAGGCAGCAGGTACTAGTGTAGGGAGAGAGCAGGTTGGAGAGATAGGGGGGTGCCAGCGCGTGAAGGGATTTAAATACAAGAGTGAGGATCTTGAAATTGATCTGCTCTGTGGGCAGCCAATGGAGTTTGACAAGGAATACCTACGAATTTGCCGAAGAGTGTCCAGACAAAATGCTGAGAGTTTTACATTTGCATAGAAATTTCCATTTATTTGGAATGGATTGTACACTCAATTCATATAGGGACACTCGCTGCTCACTAATCCCTGGAAATGATACTGACATCCGCCACATCTAAAAAGGCTTTCTCAGTCATTTTGAGGCAGTTTGCAAATGTGTCCGTTAAATCCACTAATACAGTCATTGAAATTCAACACTAAACCTTGCCAAACTGTTACGTGACTGCCAATTTGTTCCACTTTCTCCCCAGAGTAACTCTTCTTTTTAATTGCACATATGGAGCAATAATGTTTGTCACAGTAAAGTGTGATAAAAATGAGATATAAAGCCAATCGTCTTTTCGCAAAAGATTATCCCAAAGTTGAACAATGTATTTAGGATACTGAAAGCTCTGCACACTGCATGAGCAATTATATTCTCTGAAAGGAATGAATGACCCAAACCAATGAGCAATAAATTACTTTATCATTTAATGGATCCTTCAGAACAATTTTTTTACAAACCCCCCCCAAAAGGAAAATGTGTCACATAACGTGTGCGCTTTAATGTAAGGAACTTCATGCATCAGATCTGAATAGGTACCAGTTGACCACTGAACTCTGTAGCTTTGTGTTCCATTCTACAGAGCTTTAGATTGCAGATTTCCAGAAGGGATTGGCAACGGAGAAGGATTAATCTCAAATGCATAAAATAAATATCTTGTTAAAAAAAGACAGGCACAGAGAAGAAACAAGTAAAACTACTTCCATGAGCAATTAAAAAAAGACACTTTTCAACTTTATCATAAGTTAGGCACTCATAAAAGCAGGAGGAGGTAAACTCTGCCATTGATGGTACACATTAGCATACAGCAGCAAGAAAGATTTTCATAAGACTGGTACTATAATGACTAATCCCCAATTTAGAAGAAAAAAGATAAATAGGATTGCAGGAGGATTAATCTAATCAGCAACGTGGGAAAAGTGTTTGTGAAGTTGTCCTGGCATGGGATGGCTAAACAAAGACAAGAGATTTCTGCATTATCTGAGGCTCAAATTGGGTTTAAGAACAGAACAGCACAGAGATTTTATTTCCTCTGCAGCAAGTGGCTGTAGAAAAGAAGAAGGGACTTGAAAGTAAAGCAACCTTTGTTGCTAGGGTTTTCGGTAGGCCTTTGAGAGACTGGGATTAAAATCCGGTGTGCAGTGGGATAATTATCACTGGTGATAATAGTCACATTGTGGGATCTAATTGCTCCTGAAGACATCTTAGTCGACTACTGCCATACCACATCACCACCCCCATCCCTACTCACTCTAACAGTTTTCAAATAATTTTGCCCAAGAGCCACTTTATGCAGCTATTGGGCAAGCGGCAATCTGAAACCTGTTATCACTTTTAACAGCATGAATTAAGCAGTTGTTCTCTGAACCAGCATTGAATCACCAAGTTCTGAATGCCAGCAAGTTCCAAAGCCAATTAAACCATTGAATTGGTGTAAATCCTACATCTGTCTAAATTGGACCCGGCAGTTTCACAAATAATAATAATAACCCTTGCATTTAATACAGGGCCTTATCACGTCGTTGAGTGTTTCACAGAACATACTGCTAGTGATTTTAATGTAGAAAATTGTTTGTAATAATAATAATAATAATCCTTGCATTTGATATAGCGCTTTTCACGTCGGGAGGACGTCCCAAAGCGCTTCACAGAACACACTGTAAAGTGAATTGACTGTATTTGTGGGCGAACATGTTGGTCACCAGTGGCCTTAAATTCTCCTTGTCTTAAATCTGTAGAATATTTAGCCTTAAAATTTAAGATTGTGCAGAATTGTGAAAATACTGTACTTAGTTTCAGTCTTGATTTTGAAGCAGATCTTAAAGGGAAGCCAGCTTCCCCATTGAGACTGAATGCAAAAGATTTTCCACAATTCTGGTCAATCTTTAATTTTGAGATATAATCCAGTTTCACAGGCTAAGACTAGGTTGAATTTTGGGCCTCTGGAGCTCAAGCAAATATCTGCACCTTCTCCTGAAGACACTGACTTTTGCTAGCGAATTGTTTCATGGTTGCCAGTAGCATTATTATTCTCCATGCATCATGGACAAATCTGATCCTATTTTCACATAAAATCCACACAAGCACAGGGTGGAACCCTGGCTGATTCTTCTCCTTTCTAACCCAGGGAGGGGGTTGGGGGCAATTAGGGCAATTCTTGTACCTGACCGGTGCCCTGGTTCAGATCAGCTAACGCAGCACAAAGCAGGAATCTAATCTCCAACCTTGTGATACGTTTCACCTAGTCCTGCACTGAGCTGATCAATTATTTACTGCACCTTTAAAGGAGCCCTGACTTTGTCTTCCTAACTCGACTACAATAAATCTCACTATCAGAAGGCATATTCAAACACATTCAAACACAGTTTCTATACATTTCCTACTCCTCATGTTTCGAGGGTAAGGCAAGGTTTATAAGAATCCAAATATCTGCAGCAGCAACATCCAAGAGTTAAACCTTTTATAAAAAANTATTTTGCTCATCTTGCAATGTCATTTCCCAGCCACTGAGAAATGTAAATATTTATGAAAGCTGTCATCATTAACTCAAGACATGGGCGGAACAGCTTGCCAGGAAAACTCACAAATTAGAAAGGATTTTTGTGTCCACAGCAGAGCTTATGTAAGACAAGCCTGTCGAAGACCCCAGAACGTTCAGAGCCTTTTAAGCAAACAGATTTTATTCTATGCTATTATTCCAGGCCAGCAACACTCCACATGTAGTCATTTCAAATTTATTTTAAATATTTAAACAGCAGAGCAACAAGCAAACACAAATTACACTGTGCAATGTTGGTTTGATAAACAAACTACCATCCTACGCCAGCGATCATACCCTTGTTCAGTGTTTCTCCACAGGACTTACTCTTGTTGTGTACGTCCTGCCTCCAACCCTGTCCCGGGCCTCCAGCACCACCACTTTCTGGCCAGATTCTACTAACAGCTTGGCTGCCGACAGACCTAAGAGATGAAAAGAACACAAAATGTCAATGTTCCCACGTAGCAGAATGGCCTGCCTGCCTCAAACTGAAGAATTGCATTTGTTTTGCAAGTCATTTGAATTCTATGGATATAAAAACAGTTCATAAAGTCAAATATAACAATAATCCTTGGATTTGATATTGCATCTTTCACGTCTGGAGGATATCTCACAATGCTTCACAGAGTATGCTGTAAAGTGTAGTGACTGTTTTTTTGTGCGTGAACTGTGCTCTGAGACCCTACCCCATGTGATGGGTGCGATATAAATGCAAGATGTTGTTGTTGAACACAGCAAACAATTTGTGCACCTCAATAACACATAAATAGCTGTGAAGTCAATGACCAATTTTATTTGGGGAATTGTTCATTATGAGAGAAGAAGGGAGAAATTCTCTTCTCTTTGCAAATAATGGCAAATAATGAAAATGCAGACTGGACCTCAGTTTAATGTCTCACCCAAAGGATGGCACCTTCAACACTGCAGGACTCCCCCGGAGCACTACACTGAATGTCAGCCTTGGATTTATGAGCTCAAAATTCTGAGGTGAGGCTTTGAACCCTCACCTTCTAAGCCAGGGTACAAGTGCCTCCAATTTAGCCATCTTTATTCTTGATATTTTAGGAATTTGCAGCATATTTTGTAGTACTATTTTATAATGGGATTCCTTAGAATTTCCATCAACCAGCAGAAGTGGTGCAAATACTTATTTGTATGTTATTTGATTCTCTTTATCTAAAAATCTCATTTCAAAATGCAAGTTAGACCACAAAGAAACTCCCAAAAATTCAAATGAAAGCATAGAGTATACGATACAGAACATCAGAATTTTTGTTTTGGATGCGTTTTTCATGAGTAGTGCAAATCTTGATTAACAATGTACCAACAGTGTCCAACAGCCCTCAGTTTTGTGACCAAACCACAAGCTGAAGTTGCATTGTCGAAGACAGGTGGGTTTCAAACACTCCAGTTTCCCACCTTAGCCTCAAGGTAGTCAAATTCCCAGGTAAATATCCAACTCAGCCAAACATCAAAGAAAGCAAAAAGGTTGGAAAAGAACTGGTTTTGCATTGTCAATACGACCCCATGTTCAAAGTCATATCTCAGACAGGAATTACAACAAATTCACTTAGATTGATAGAACAAGACCATGTCATTCTTCATTAATAAAATAAAGCAAAACTAGGGCAGATCCTGCAGTTTTCATTACCAACTTAGCTTGCAATTTGTTCCAAAGATTTCTACTTATTTTGGGGAACAAAAGCCAGCAAAGAGCACCCTCAGGTCAGATATGATCAGGATCAGTAAAGCTCGCGCACACGCTCTCTCTCTTTCTCTCTCTGAACCAAACATCACAATTCTAGCCTCGGAATAACATTACTTATTTTGTCCTCATGTCCTCTCCTGCACCAGGCTCCATGACCCTATCAACCCCACCCCTGCCAAGCTCCACTGGCTCCCGATCCCCCAGAGGATAGAGTTCAAAGTCTTCGCCTTCAAAGCCCTCCTTCCTACCTCTGTGCCTGTCTGCTCCCTTCGCTCAGCAGGCTCCAGCCTGATCCACATCCGCCGCCATTGGCGGTTGGGCCTTCAGCCTCTCTGCCCCCACCCATTAGAACTCTATTCCACAGTCCCTCCGCCTCGCTCCCTCCCTTGCCTCCTCTGAAACACCTCTTTTTAAGGCTGAAAATTCCTTGCTTATCTAATCCTTGCTCATAGCTCATTCCTCTAACGACAGGGAGCTTCAATTATTTTGAACCTGCCTACAGGTCATCAGAGAATACACTATTGATGAAAATATATATTCATTATGTTTCCTGAATACAAAAATCACAATGATAAGTGCAGAGTACTGTACTACACAATTGTATTCAAGTCTTCCTACAAAGGCTATAAGAACTCTCTTTGTGTCATGATTTTGGTGCTGCAGTTCTCCAGGTTTCCATGTGCGGATTAAGAAACAAGAAATTGCATTTATTAGGGTGTCTTTTTAATGCCAAAACATCTCGGCGCTTCAGAGTAATTACTTTCAAGTTCGGAGACATCAACAATATTTTGTTTAAGGTGATTGATGCAGGCATTTTGAACATCGTAAAGTGCCACAGTTACTGGATGAATGACCAATTGGTAGTAATTTGGTGGATTGTCAGCCAGAAGAAACTAGGAGTAATCCTCTTCCCCTCTATATAAATACAAGTTGTTTTCGTTTCAAATAATATCATCAATTTCTAGATTGAAAAAAGCTGCTCCACTTATTCACTGGGGAGAAATATTTAAGCAACACAGGATTCCATTCAATCTACTGACATTCATACGAAAAACTCTGACTTCCAGCAGTTATACTGTTTGCATATTGTTGGATAATATTACAGTGATGAGAAGTGGCTAGAGTTATGTGGACTTGGGAAATTGCAGCAGAGAAGGTTAAAGGCAGGATCTAATAGAGCTTTTCAAAACTATGGTGCTTTTGGTGCAAATAGTCCACCTCTGTTCACTCTTTTCAAAACTCTCAGAATTTAATTTTGCTCCATCTTGCTCCATCACATCAGAACAACCCCAACAGATATTACCTTAAAATAGAATTTTCAGCTTTTGTTAAGATTTCTGCACAAAAATGAGTAGATCTTGCAAAGTTGGTTGTCAGAATAATTAAAGACTGTATTGAGTTGATTGTATTGTACAATACTATGCACACATCACAGTTTTATTTGAAGCTATTGAACATTTCGGCAATATCAGCTTATAGATTGATGACAACTGTACAGGATTGGAATGGCAATTTCCACCAATACCCACTTATTAGCCTTTGAGCAAGATGTATTGTTCAGTCATATTTCAGAACATATACAATAACACAAAATTCATAAACTATGCATCTGGAGGAGTGTACCATGTTGATATCGGGCCTTTCACTTACTTGTAATGAGAAGATTCAGAAGCATCTGCTCACACAGAGGGGAGCGAGGCACCTTCGTGTATGCGCAGTGCCACTCCCCTCTCAAGTTTGTATGTGATAAGAGGGGAGGCACTGCGTACGCGTGAGAGCGCCTTTCTCCCCAGGCTCATCTGCATACCTGGAGTGGACAGAGGCACTCCCACACAAGTGCAATCCTCCCTCTTCTCAGAAACACATCACCAGACGTGCCTGTGCATGCAGAGCAGGGGGGGAGATCAAGACTTGGCATGCGTTGTTGCGATCAGGACAGGTAACTCTTTTTGGTGTTTTTCTGGTGTTTATTGGATAAACACTGATTTAATTTTTTGTATTGGGTGTGTTTTCGCGGGTTTTAATCGGGTAAAACTGAAAATCAGAAACCCTATAATAATAATAATCCTTGTATTTGATACAGCGCCTTATCACACCTTCGAGAAGTCTCAAAACACTTCACATCATTTACTGTAAAGTGAATTGACTGTATATTTTGTGGGCAAAACTATATACTGGTAACTGAGAGTGCATTTCACATCATGAATAACAAACATCATTCACGCTTTGAAGATTTTACAGCTTGAAATATTGCAGCAAATAAGGTTTTATGTTTTTGCTGGATCTTGTTATTAGATCAGGATAAACCCAAGCAGAAAATCCTGATGCCATTTCTATGGTTACGGATTGATCATGCAACAAGCTGCCGTCACTTGGAGGCAAAATTGCAAAGGAAGCTTGCTTTCAAAGTGTTTCATTTCTGGAGGTCAAGATTATTTAAGAGTCTATCACTACCTGAGAATTCAATGTAATATTTTGATTTAAAAATAAAAAAATGACCAATTTCATTGAATGCAGGCTCACAAACTTAATCTAGACATCTGTTACATTTCTTGTTTATCTCTGGTGTTTCTGAATGATAAAGGATTTTCAATAATAATGTAATCAAATGCCGAGGTATTTGGCTGAATTACTAAATTGCGTTTTATTGCAACCAAGAAGCTTTCTTCATTTCTGGAATCCAATAGATTCAGAGTGCAGAGTGCAGACCACAAACCTTCGTTGTAAAGTCAGGTGTTAGACCAGTGGTTGCCAAAATTGGCCCACTGGTCACAATCCCCTGCTCCTCAACCAGATGTTTTTATACACAGCTTAAACTGTCATGAACAGACAAGGTACTTAATAATAATAATAACAATCCTTGCATTTGATAAAGGGTTTTTCACGTCTTCTAGAGTCTCAAAGCGCTTCACAGAATAGACTGTAAAGTGAATTGACTGTATATTTGTGGGCGAAATGCAGCAGCCAATTGCGCACAGCAGTGTCCCACAAACAGTCATGGATTGAAATAACCAATTTATTATTGTTTTTTTTGAGGGATTATTATCAGGCGTTTGGAGCAAGAAAACTTGCCTAAGGTTTCACTCTGCCGGGAATCAAACCCAGGTCTCTCGCTTGCAAAGCGAGTGCTCTAACCACTGAGCAACAAGACTCCACTTGTATCTTATCAGTACACTGTTTAAGACTGGCTTGTACTATATGGTCAGGGAACACAGTACAGCACAAAAAGCAACTAACTGTTAGACCTGAATTCAACCATCTCACCCATCTAGGGGATCGAGGATCTAAAAGAGAAATTAAGAGGAACTTCTGTACTCATGCAGTGAGATTGTGGAACTCACTGCTGAAGCTGTGGTTGAATCAGACAGTATGGATACCTTTAAGAGGAAGCTAGACCTTCGCATGAGAAACCATTAGAACGGTATTGGAGTCAGTAAAGGAATGGGTGAAGACTCATGTCAAGTATAAAAACCAGCAAAGACTGGTTGGACTAAATGGCCTGTTTTCATGCTGTACATTCTTTGTAAACTCTTTGTGAGTAAATGTAGCAGACTGGCTACATATCCAAGCGTACAGTTTCACCAGACAGACTCAAACAGCAATTTTATTTGTACACAGAGGGGAAAATTAAGGTCACAGTCTTTTTAAATATATTATATCAGACAGTTACATGTAGATAATATGGATTTAGAAACCTCAAATCATTTTTTCCGT